CAAAAAAAAAAAAAAAAAGACAGCGGGGCTTGGTGGCTCAGCCTGTAATCCCAGCGCTTTGGGAGGCTGAGGCAAGTGGATTGCCTGAGCCCTCGAGTTTGAGACCCACCTGGGCAACTTGACGAGACCTCGTCTCTACAATAAATCAAAAAAATTAGCTGGGCGTGGTAGTGCGCGCCTGCAGTTCTGGCTACTTGGAGGGCTGAGGCAGAAGGATTGCCTGGGTCCAGCAGGTTGAGTCTGTGGTGGCTGGGAGCGGCCACTGCACTCTAGTCTGGGTGATGGTATGAGACTCCAACTCAAAAAAAAAAAACAAAGCCTATGAAAGAAGTTTGTGAGTTGGAGGAGGGAGTTCAGGGGTGGAGATGATAGGTGGGGAATCTGTCCGTTGGTGTGTCTGACAAGTGATGCTAGAATCAAGACAAGACCAGAAATAAACAATCACATACACAATTCCCTGGCCACTAGATTAAACACACACACACACACACACACACACACGTGCAGGCAGGCTCACATGCATGTCAGCACTCAGAGCCATTTGCGATCAAGATTTCCCCCCACCCACACACATCTTGCTCAGCTTTGAGGCGTGTGCACATATGTGCTCAAAGCACACACTCTTTGTATGTGTTCCCAGGTGTCTACTCTGTGAGTGGACATCTACAGACAGCACACCCTCTAAGGGCCTCAGGAGGTCCAAGTCCCTAGAGACTTGCACAGGCAACAGGGAAAGAGTCAATGGCAGTGTCTGACTTGGGCTCCTTTTAAAGAGTGGGAGGGTAGGGAGCATGTACTGGTAGAGGAATAATAGTTATTGTCTTCCTTTCTAACTGATTGCATCAGTGGGGACACTGTGATGTCATGGAAAGAACCCAGAGTTCAGTGGCAAACCTGGCTTGTGTCTGACTCCACTTTAGAGCATCCTGACCATGTGTCTACCCCTCCAATGGGGACAATAGTTGATACCTACTTTAACAGGGTCTAGACTAAGGCCAGGCGCGGTGACTCGAGCCTGCAATCCCAGCACTTTGGGAGCCCAAGGTGAAAGGACTACCTGAGTTCAGGGGTTCGAGACCAGCCTGGGCAACTTGATGAGACCTCATCTCTACAATAAATCAAAAAATAATCCAGGCATGGTAGCATGCACCTGTGGTTCCAGCTACTTGGAAGGCTGAGGCGGAAGGATCACCTGAGCCCAGCAGGTCAAGGCTGCAGTGGCCACAAGCATGCCACTGCATTTCAGCCTGGGCAACAGAGTGAGGTTCCAACTCAAAAAAAAAAAAAAAAAACAGGGTGTAGACTAAGCTAAATGCCCAGGGCGCGACATATAAGGAGGGACTCATCTTCAGATCATGCAATGTCAGCATCAGCCAGACTTTCATTAATGGCATCTGCACTTGTCTGACCCTGAGAATGACTGCTTCGCTTGGTCACCCTCCTCTGGTCCCCGCCATCCCACACAATGGCTGTAAAGATTGCATGAGAGGAAGCATGGAGAAAACAGAACTTGTTGGTCTGTGAACTGCAAGTTGCAACCTAAGAGTGAGTCACAAAATCAGTGTGTTGAGTGTACTAGTTTGCTAGGGTTGCTGTAACAAAGTGCCGCAAATCGGACCACTTAAACAGGATTGTGTATCATGATGCTGGGGGCTGGAAGTCCAAGATCAAGGTGTTAGCAGTGTTGATTCCTTCTGAGGGCCATGAGGGAGGGATCTGTTCCTGACCTCTCCCCTTGGCTTGTAGAAGGCCATCTTCATGTTCAAGTGGTATTCTCCCTGTATGCAAATCTGCCTCCAAACCGCCCCTTTTTCTAAGGCCCCCCAGTCATATGGGATCAGGGCCTATGCTAATGACTTCATTTTGACTATCTCTGGATAGACTTTCTCTCAAAATAAGGTCACATTCTGAGGTTCTGGGGTTAAGATTTCAACTAAGGAGCCGGGCTCCGTGGCTCAGCCTGTAATCCTGAGCCTTTGGTAGGCTGAGGTGAATGGATTGCCTTAGCCCGCGGGTTCGAGACCCACCTGGGCAGCAAGACCTCATCTCCACAATAAATTAAAAAATCAGCCGGGCGTGGTAGCGCACGCCTGTAATTCTGGCTACTTGGAAGGCTGAGGCGGAAGGATCGCCGGAGCCCGGCAGGTTGAGGCTGCGGTGGACGGGAGTGAGACTCCAACTCAAAGAAAAAAAAAGGATTTTAACTAAGGAATTTCTGAGGGACACAATTCAGCCCATAACAGTGCCTTGACCACCACTCTTCCTTTAAATTTATTATTTATCTATTTTTAGAGACAAGGTCTCCCCTATTGCCCAGGCTGGAATGCAGTGGTGCAATTACAGCTCACTGCAGCCTCTCGAGTAGCCGAGACTATAGGTGTGAACCACCATACCCAACATTTGTTTGTTTATTTTTAGAGATGGCGGTCTCATTATGTTGCCCAGGCTGGTCTCGAACTCCTGGCCTCAAGCAATCCTACCTCAGCCTCTCAAAGTGCTGGGATTATAGGTGTGAGCCATTGCTTCTGGCCAAGACCATTACTCTTTAAAAATGAGGCCAGGTTCAATGACGCAGCCTGTAATCCCAGCACTTTGGGAGACTGAGGCAAGTGGACTGCCTAAGCCCGCAGGTTTGAGACCACCCTAGCAGCTTGGCGAGACCTCATCTCTACAATAAATTTAAAAATTAGCTGGGTAAGCCGGGCTTGGTGGCTCAGTCTGTAATCCCGCGCCTTTGGGAGGCTGAGGTGAGTGGATTGCCTGAGCCCGTGGGTTCGTGAC